TACTATTACTACTATTACTACTATTACTACTATTACTACCATTACTACCATTACTACTATTACTACTATTACTACTATTACTACTATTACTACTATTACTACTATTACTACTATTACTACTATTACTACTATTACTACTATTACTACTATTACTACTATTACTACTATTACTACTATTACTACTGTTACTGTTACTATTGTTACTATCATTACTACTGTCACTACTTACTACACTACAAATATAACTACAACTACCAATACAACTACAACTAGAACGATACCTAACACTACCACTGCAACTACAATTACAACTACATTTAAATTACAACTACCAATACTACTACTACCACAATCACAACCACATCTACAACTACAACTACCATTACGATTACAACTTTAAATACAACTACCATTACAACTACAACTACATATATACATTTATATGTACAACTACAAATACATTGCACTACAATACACCACACTATATCCAATAATTTGGGTTGAGGTAACCAATACAATTATTGTAAAAATTATAATTCCACCCACCTTTCGATTCGTCAGTGGATTTGATTTGTCATATGTGCATTAGAACAATTCATCTCTCCTATAATTTCTTATCTTTAAAATTTCCGTCATCGCCTTATGCGGTACCATTATTAAATTTCAAAATTATATAGAATAATTTTGTTCAATTTATCTAAAATATATCAAATATTTATTTAATATATTTTTCAAAAATTAATTTATTTTTCTAATCAATTAAAATATTTATTTTAATAAATATATAATGTGTATATATATATATTTATTTAATATTATTTATAAATTATTATTTGTTTATAGATAAATAAAAAATAATAGTTATAAATATCATTAAGAAAAATAGATATTCTTAATCATAATATGTTTATTTTATAATATCTATTTACAAAATAAATCAAAATAATTTTATATAATTTTATATATAATTTATATTAATATATATTAGTTATATAAAATAATAATATAATAATTTAATTTATATTAAAAATATATTATATTATATAAAAATAAATTTATTAAATATTTTTTTTATATTAAAATTTATGTACCGGCAAATAATCGATTTTTAGAATAAATGTATTGTTTGAAAATATATGTCGATAATAATGCAAAAAAAATACAATTATATATATAAAATTATATATAATATTTATATGTATATATTATATTTTATATATATATATTGGTAGGACCAATGGCTGCTAAACATCCCTACAAAAAGCGGTGCTCGGAGGGTGGCCGGGGAGGGTGGCAGGGAGGGCGGCGGGGTTCACCAATTATTGGTGCAACTTTAGGTGCGCAAAAAGTTCTCTCTCCTTAAGTTTTTTGATATTTGACGCCCGCAACAATATTTTGTCTACGTTTTTCATGCGTTTTTTTCAGCCTCCGCACGGTTTGCCTGCCCGTCACGGTGTCTTGAACACTTTCCTTCAGAAATGTAACATTTGCAAAATGGATTTGAAGCAGGAAAATCCGAGCGTCAAGGAAATTCTTTGGTCCCGGAGAAGTCGTTGATAATTCTTAATGCGGTCCCCGCTTGGACAAAATTAAAGAAACAACTTTACAGTGACGGGTTTTGATTCTGCAATCAAAGATGTTGATTTGCCATGTCTGCCCGATTGCTGGTGAAATTTTCTTCGCATCACTGAGCCCCAAGTACAGCAACTTCAGCGTACCCTCTCCTTCTTCAAATTATTCGTGCCAAAACCCGTTTCCGGGAAACAGAGACACACGAAATAGTTTGGGTTCTAGACTTTTTTCCGTCAGTGGAAGTGCTTAAAGGGTATAATTATACTGTACAAATGCGGCTAAAAAATGCAGGCAAGCAACTATAAAGAAAATAAGCTTCGGTGGTATCCCCAACAGCCACAACGTTTTATTTTTACAAATCTTTCAGAAACGTGCTGCGAAACCAAGCGCTGGAAACCCTTTGAACCTGTTGGAACCTGACCTGGCCCTGCACCAAAGATTCCCCCAAAACCTTCTCCGGGACCTTCTCTGCGTGCAACCTTCTCCGGGACCCGTTGAACCTGACTTGGCTTTGCACCAAGGCTTCCCAAGAGCTTCTCGGAACCTTCTCCGGAACCCTGTTGAACCTGACCTGGCTCTGCACCAAAGCCTCCCGGAACCTTCTCCGGAACCTTCTCCGGAACCCTGTTGAACCTGACCTGGCGCCTCCCAGACCTTCTCCGGAACCTTCTCCGGAACCTTGTTGAACCAGTTGAACCTGACTTGGCTTCGCACCCGATTTCCGGAACCCTGTTGAACCTGACCTGTCTCTGCACCAAATCCCAAACCTTCTCGGGAACCTTCGGAACCTTCTCCGGAACCTCGTTGAACCTGACCCGGTGCCTGCACCAGTGCACACCGGAGCTATATTCTGGGCTGAAGACCCCGTCAGCTTACGCTGTTGGGGAAAAACTGTGGACCTTTGCGCTGATCCATGTTGGATAAAATCTGTGGAAGTTCAAGATACTCGGTCATGGAAAATCGATTGAGACGAGACGAGAATACAGAACATCGGTAAAAAAATGATGAAAACATATATATACATGGAAAACTCCGTAAAAAGCTCGAAATCAATGAAAACCATCGAAAAATCGATGAAAACCGCTGAAACCCAGTGAGAAATCTATGAAAATCATCAAGAAATCGAGAAAAACAATGAAAAATCGAGTTTAACATGGAAAATTGGTCCGAGCCAGCTTGACTGCTTCCAAAAATGCGAGATCCGCGCTGATCCGCGCTAATCCGTGCTGATCCGCGTTGATCCGCGCTGATCCGCGCTGATCCGCGCTGATCCGCGCTGATCCGTGCTGATCCGCGCTGATCTAAGCAAGAATACCCAAGAATTTAGCGCCGATCAGCGCGGATCAGCGCGGATAAACGCGGATCAGCGCGGATCAGCGCGGATCAGCGCGGATCAGCGCGGATCAACGCGGCCCAGCGCGGCCCAGCGCGGATCAGCGCGGATCAGCGCGGCGCCGCCAGCGTGGATCAGCGCGGATCAGCGCGGCGCAGCGCGCGGATCAGCGCGAATCAGGGCGGATCAGCGCGGATCAGCGCGGATAAACGCGGATCAGCGCGGATCAGCGCGGATCAGCGCGGATCAGCGCGGATCAACGCGGCCCAGCGCGGCGGATCAGCGCGGCGCCGCAAGCGTGGATCAGCGCGGATCAGCGCGGCGCAGCGCGCGGATCAGCGCGAATCAGGGCGGATCAGCGCGGATCAGCGCGGATCAGCGCGGCCCAGTGCGGATCAGCGCGGATCAGCGCAAATCAGCGCAAATCAGCGCGGATCAGCGAGTACTATGCGCGGATCAGCGCCGATCAGCGCGGATCAGCGCTGATCAGCGCGGATCAACACCCATCAGCGGGCATTAGTTCGGAGATCTTCCATAGAAGCCGAGGGCAAGTGAGATGTGAACATGGAATAGCACCAAGCATGGTCACTGTCATTGTGTTTTTTGATTTTTGTCAGGGAACACAGTTTTTCCTTGACGCCCATGGGTGCTACATCTCATGCGCCGTCGGCTTGATGTCTTGCTGCTCTTTTCTCCACCCGTCCTGCACCTCAAAATACATCAAATCAATAGCTTTGATGCCCTCCTAATACCCTCTTCAGCCACCTGTCAGGCACCAAAAATCAATAGTTTTCATCCCCCCTCATCCCTCTCAGCCGCCCCTCGTGCACCACTAATAGCACTGATGCCTTGCCATCTTTTTCCACCACCCTTCCTGCACCACAAATCAGTACCCTTAATGTCCTGCCATCCTGTTCCGCCACCCTTCCTGCACCACAAATCAGTAGCCTTAATGTCCTGCCACCCTGTTCCGCCACCCTTCCTGCACCACAAATCAGTAGCCTTAATGTCCTGCCACCCTGTTCCGCCACCCTTCCTGCACCACAAATCAGTAGCCTTAATGTCCTGCCACCCTGTTCCGCCACCCTTCCTGCACCACAAATCAGTAGCCTTAATGTCCTGCCACCCTGTTCCGCCACCCTTCCTGCACCACAAATCATAGGTTTTGGTATCGGTTTGCTCTTCCAGATGTTTAGCAGGCAGTGGGTCTCTCAATATGTATATATATATATATATTGGTTTGTTTTGTTATAGTAGTGTGTTAATTGATTCTCGTGATAATTTATTTTTGTTTGATTTCGTTGGTCTATCGGTTTGTAGCCCAATTATTAATTTTATCATGTTTTGTTTAAGAATTTGGTTGCTTGTTGGGTTGTGATATGTCCAACGGTTCTCCGGTTGTCTGGTGGTCCATGGTTGTCCTATTGTCCTGCTACAATGCCGCGACCAGGTGATTGGAAGCAGTTCTTTATTCATCTTGATTCATTTGAGTTGGTAGAACAAATAGTTTTTATTAGTTTTTTCTGAAATGTTCAGAATGTCAAGTAGAGATGGCAACAAACTGCTGAGCAAATATGGTTGACCTGGCATTGATGAACATCAAAATAAACTATTGATTGCGCTTTGCAGGAAACTGGAATCTATCAAGGCAGCAAGGAGTATCAAATTTCTTCACTGGAAACGTGCCAGGTTTGCTCAAGGATGCACAGCTGGATGCAGCATCCATCAACGTCTTCATCGATTTACCTGCGATTTTTTGCGAGCACTGTATCTTGCAATAACCGATATGTCGCTTCTAGAAGTCTTACCCACCAGAATCACCAGACCTCCTGAAACAGGCTGACGAGTTTGAAGCCACTTTTGGAGGGGCTGATCATCTACCAGCACCTGCTCCCATCCTTCCTCCTGTCAAGGATGCCAAGGTGTGAACCATTTTCCGTTAGCATTTTTTCTGTATCTTCAAATCTTGTTGTGACGTTGAACTTTGAACTCCCAGCCTCTGGCGCAGAGCCTGTGCACGATAAATGCTTCAAGGCTGCTGCTTCTTAAGATTGTGTATAGGAAGTGCACAGGGTGCCTTTACGAAGGGTTTTGGTCAAACAAATGCGGCCTTGGAATCACGAGCCAAAGCAACCAAGTCTTTATGCGACATCCGTCGAATCAGGCTGGGCTCTGGACATTGACTCTTTTGTGATGCCAAGACAAAAACCAACTGCCACCGTTGCGCAAAAGCCTGGTCCAGTTTGTCCCAGCATGTCACGGCTATCAACAATATTCAATATAATATTAATATTATACCATATATAAGCACCATCATGCCTGGGATGAATCATCAGGAGCCAATTTAAATTGCTCCACCTCGAGGGTCGAAGAGTTTCTGCTATACTTCTCCAAGCTGTCCCGCCATGGTGAGCAAAGATAGCTTGATGACCCACAACAAATCTAATCAAATCCAATCACATTTGCTTTATTCTACTTCATTAGTTTTCATCTGCATATCCAGTCTCAGCACTTTTCATCATTGCTGTCATTGCTGTCATTGCTGTCATTGCTGTCATTGCTGTCATTGCTGTCATTGCTGTCATTGCTCAGCTCCGAGCCAAAGGTTGCCATGAACTGCGTACAGGACCTGCCAAAGGCCCAAAGGCAGAGCTGTCCCGATACAGGGCTTCACCTTGACCTCTCGGCTGACCTTCAGCGCCACCTTTGCGAGGCACTGCGACCTGATTGCAGCGGTGGTTTTTTGGGAGGCTGCAGTGCCATGCAGTGCCTATAGAGCTACAAGACTCACTCGAATTTCAGTTCTGTTATGACTTGAATCCGGCTCAGGCATAGCTTCCAGCCCGGCAGATTGGTGGCAACAGTCTAACTGCTTCCCGTAGCATCCAAACACGAGGCCTGTTGCGTGGCGTGCGGACTTTGTATTGCATGTTGATTTATGCTGCAGTCGACGAAGACAAAAAGTCAAACAAGTCAATTCTGACGCAGTGAGAAGTTCCAAAAGCCTTGGCTCTGTGGACAGGAAAAATCAAAGAACAGCTCCACCATGCATCAAGGATATCTCGAACTTGGAGCAAACAAAAATGGTGACTGCATATTAAGCAAATGGATCTACTACTAATCTACACTATATGGATCTATATTGGGTCGTTGATGTAAAGACGATGTAAATGATGTAAAGACTGTCACATGCTTCGAAACACATGCACTGTTCTCTTGGGCTGTCACGGATAGAGGCGCGACGCTCGCAGCTTCTCCCAGTTTGGCTCACCCTGGAAGTTTCGGCCAACGCAAATTATACAGTGCACTCAGTGCACTCACCAATACATGCACCCTCCATCTACAAACATAATCAGAAAATATCAGAAATATGGAAATGATTGATACAAAATGGGCAATGGGTTACACGGCACTGATATTGTACGACTTGGTATCATCTGCATCCATCCAACCATCTATTTATCGATCTATTTGTCTATCTCGACTCTTTGCCTGCCGGTCCCTCTGTCTGTCGGTTGGTCAGTTGCTGCATGCATCTGCATACTGGTGCTTATGGTATGTATATATCATGATTACGATACATCCTATGAATATTTCAGAGTTAGATAGTGCTACAGATGCTACAGTAGTTAGTGTAATTACATGTCTCGTTGTCACTGTCACGGAAAAAGATCAAAACGAAGAGCATAAAGCTCAGGTTCTCACAAGATTGCCATCTTCTTTCCTGCACTTGGAAAGATGGTTGACTCTGTCGCAAAGATCTTGCGGCCGGCCAAGCTTGTATGTGAAAGTGTGACCTGGATTGCCCATTACAACATCATCAACATCTGCACAAATGTGTTGTATATACGAGTACTTACTGGTTGGTGGTTTTTAACATGTTTTAACCATCTTGAAAAATATTAGTCACTGGGAAGGATTATCCCATATATTATTATAATGGAAAATAAAAAATGTTCCAAACCACCAACCAGCTTATATAACTTTAATATACACTTAAATGAATCGTCAGAGTGACAACATGTCCTCTGCTTTGGAGCCAAATATCGCTCAAAGAACGACTCAAAGCGCTGGAGCACGTCCTGCAGAGGGCAGACGTGCTAAAGCAACGGGTCACCCATTGCAGCAGCTGAAGCTGATTGCTGTCCTTCATCCGGTCACCTGTCAAAATCAAAGGCTGGAATAGAAACAGATTGGAAAAAAATGGAAAGGAAAAGCAATAGATCTGTTTTGTTCGATTTTGCTTCTTTCATTTCCTTTTCATTTCTTTTTCAGTTCTTTTCCATTTCCTTGGGCGGAAAGCTGCCTGAAGGCTCGGCTCTCCAAAAGAAACGTAGTTGCGGCAAAGCTTTGGTTGCCTGTCCACGTCTTTGCGTCGATACGCTTGATGGTGTCAACAGTGAGGGGTCATGCCCCCAGTGCCCCTGAAGAATCCACCTATTGATCCCAAGTGTTGTTTAGGATCTACATGAAGACGAGCACCGGCGACCATGAGAACCATAGGTGACCCTTCTGCTCAAGCCTCCAAACGACGCCGTTTGCTTCGTGCTTCCTCGGTGCTCTCCGCCTGTGAGCAACACACTGACAGCATGACCATCTTGTGATATTTCATCACCAACATCTTTCATCCCAGTGGAGTTCCCTGGATCTGAGTCTATTCCATCGCCTCTGTGACCACCTCAAAACCCACCATAGCGCCCAAAGGTAGGGGGACTTGAATGCGCACCTGGCAATGCCAGACACTCGCCAAACGACTCACCGCAAATCATGCTTGTTTCTTCAATTGCCACCTGTTGACATTTAAATACAGACCCAATCTGTGGGGTCTGTAAAGGAAAAAACACATGTTTGAGGCTCTCTATTCAGCAACCGTTGCTTGTGACACGGCTTGGTCTTCCCAAAAAACCGTTCTTGAAGTTCTGCAACAGTATGTTTTTGTGTTTGCCTCACTTCTCTTTCTTCCCAGCATTCCTGAGGCCTCTTTGATGATACCTTGATATGGGCAGTGTTCAAACGTTATACTGGCTAATTAGGGTATATGTGTACATCAATATATTATTGTATATTGTAAATTGATGTGAATTTTATATTCCCTCCCATCACACTTGCACCACTTGCGCACCCATCTGTGCGGCCACTCCGCTTCAGCCGTCGGTTGCATCTCGCAGCGGGTCGCAACACCTCGTGGAGTTCCCTTTGCTCTAGCCTATGCCTTGTCACTGATGGTGGTGCACTGCAGAGCATACATGTCCACAGGTATGTGTTGCATTTATATACCGTACAAGCAATATATCTAATATATAATATACAAGTATAATTATTATAATGTATATATAGTATGATATAATATAAATATATATAATGTGATATAATAAATATAATATGATATAATACATATATATATACATTTCATATATAGTTATCGTAGATCAATCTGTGTAAATATATATACACATATCTTATATTATCTTATATCATCTATGTATACGACGATCTACATGCATACAGAGTCGATGTTTCTTTTCTGGCCACGTTACTCGTTGCATGGCGCTGAAGAAGATAGAGCTGCAGCATCGTGAGGTACATGCGCAAGTAGGTCCACAAAGGTAACAAACCTCAGTTGGTCACAGTTCATCTCTGCCTGCGATCAGTTGGGGGTGTCCTAAAATAGGGGTACCCCCAAATCATCCATGTTAGTAGGATTTTTCCTTATAAACCGTCCATTTTTGGGTACATCACTTATGGACACCCCCAGTTGGTGAAACCGGTTCCTGGCACTGGGACCACTGGGAGTCCCTGCGGTTCTGGATGGAACCGGCTGGAAGTCTCAAGGTGCGCCCAGGTGCATCTCCATGATCTGCAGCTGGGCAGCTTGTCCGTAAAAAAAGGATGGCATAAATGCAAAGCGGTCTGCAAGTTCCTCACAAATAGCATACGCATACATAACATAACATAACATGACATTACATGACATTACATTAGATTAGATTGCATTGCATTACATTACATTACACACACACGCAATTACACACACACACACACGCGCAATTACACACACACAGTTGCTCAGAAACAGCTTATCGAATTATTGATGTGGAATGCATCGCACGTGCAAAAACACTTCAGTTAAACCTGACAGACACTGTGAAAACGGTTCCATTTCGTGGCGAGACGGAAAGAATCACCAAAATGATGTGACCACCTGCTTTGCAACAGCATCCAGGTGCGTCACTACGGTTCCTTTTTCTTGGCGAGACGGACAGAATCACCAAATGATGTGACCACCAGCTATGCAACAGCATCCAGGTGCATCACTACGGTTCCATTTCATGGCGAGACGGACAGAATCACCAAATGATGTGACCACCAGCTATGTAACAGCATCCAGGCGCGTCACTACGGTTCCATTTCGTGGCGAGACGGGTAGAATCACCACGTGCAGGTACAAGATACTGCGTCCAGTATCTCATCCACCAATTGTCCACAGCTTCGTTGGCACGGCTAGGACAAGTGGCGCCGTGCCCCTGCTCTAAATGCATCACTACCGTTCCTATTTAGACGGACAGAATCACCAAATGATGTGATCACCAGCTATGCAACAGCATCCAGGTGCGTCACTATGGTTCCTTTTTCTTGGCGAGACGGACAGAATCACCAAATGATGTGACCACCAGCTATGCAACAGCATCCAGGTGCGTCACTACGGAAGTTTTACATCTATTCAGATGTTCCACACACACGCCCCGCAGCAGCGAGGCTTTTTAGTTGTCAGGTGAAAAAACGAAAGTCAACAGTTCAGACTATGATGCATCCACAATGACATGCAGTATTCGTGATAAGGCTCAAAGGCCCTCGGTTTTCATTTCAACCCCATCTACGGCTGTCGGTGTTCAACCCTTGAATTACGTGCACAATTGAACCTCACCAGAAACCATTAAAAGAAAAAGAACCACACCTAAAGAACGAACCTGCCTGGACTGAGAAACAAAAAATGAGGCCAGTCACAGCGGCCAGCTGTTTCAACACAACGACAACGACGGGTGAAACCCTGAAAAAAGGCCAACTGTTCCACTTTACGTAGACGAATTACACAATTAAAAAGTGTAAATTCAGAGGGAAAAAATGAAGCCACACGGCGGCCAGATGTTCAACCAACGACAACGACAGGGTGAGAAAGACATGGTGAAAAAGAAAAAAAAGGCCAGCAGTTCACTTTACTTAGACGAATTACTAATTCAAAAGTGTAAATTCAGACATCGTTTTACCGTCAATGTTTAGCCTAGAAAGGCTTTCCCCGAAGGGCTCATACCACCTTGTCGGACAACGGTATGAGTGACACATTTGCTCAGAAACAGCTTATCGAATTATTGATGTGGAATGCATCGCACGTGCAAAAACACTTCAGTTAAACCTGACAGACACTGTGAAAACGGTTCCATTTCGTGGCGAGACGGAAAGAATCACCAAAATGATGTGACCACCTGCTTTGCAACAGCATCCAGGTGCGTCACTACGGTTCCTTTTTCTTGGCGAGACGGACAGAATCACCAAATGATGTGACCACCAGCTATGCAACAGCATCCAGGTGCATCACTACGGTTCCATTTCATGGCGAGACGGACAGAATCACCAAATGATGTGACCACCAGCTATGTAACAGCATCCAGGTGCGTCACTACGGTTCCATTTCGTGGCGAGACGGGTAGAATCACCACGTGCAGGTACAAGATACTGCGTCCAGTATCTCATCCACCAATTGTCCACAGCTTCGTTGGCACGGCTAGGACAAGTGGCGCCGTGCCCCCTGCTCTAAATGCATCACTACGGTTCCTATTTCGTGGCGAGACGGACAGAATCACCAAATGATGTGACCCCCAGCTATGCAACAGCATCCAGGTGCGTCACTATGGTTCCTTTTTCTTGGCGAGACGGACAGAATCACCAAATGATGTGACCACCAGCTATGCAACAGCATCCAGGTGCGTCACTACGGAAGTTTTACATCTATTCAGATGTTCCACACACACACACACTAGATGTGACACCATGTCGTACGTATGTCATTGGAGTGTATACGACTCTCCATTTGTGCTCAGATTGAGATTCAGGCGTAGGGCTAATGAACCAGAAGCCCCTGGAATGCAAATCACATCAAATCACTGGGGTTGGAGAAAAAGCACCAGGCCAAATTGGACTGCAGATGTTCTTGTTGACTTTATGTGTTTCTCCACTTTGAATCCCGCCTTGTGCATTTTGCAGCCATTCAACGAATGGCTCCAAGTTTGCGATCACCTTAGAAGATGGAGTCACACACTGGTGGCAACTTCATCAGAAACGTCCAGGCCATTCTAAGGTCAACCTATGTCAACCTAATTCGCTCTGATCCATTGGCAGAGATCGGTCTTGGCCAACACTGATGTCAGATGTTGCCTCTACATCCTCGACCAAGGCTGCGGCAGCCATGAGCTCTGGTGTATCAGGTCGATGTCGCCTCCACAGGAAATCAAAATGTTGGGTCAAAACAGCAATGACGGCAACGTCGGCAATGTCTGCTGCAAAAATTGGGCAGCCGATGGCACCTTGACAAGCAGGACACGCGCAAAGTGGTATCATCAAGAGCAGCTACCTCCACACCCAGCATCCTGCGACACTCAACCTGGCACAGGCCACAACAGGGCACAACAAGGCACAACAGGCAACGATCAACTCATACCTTTGGTAGGTCAATCCATGCCAGATACATGGGGACCACAACGTGTCTGGCGGAACCAATGTAAGGGAATTCTACACGTGTCCTGAAAGGCAGCAGGCGGACCTGCAGGGTGTTGGCAGCACTGGGAATGCATCGCCAAAGCACTTTTTGCTCCTGGGCCAGAGCCCAAACTCGTTGGCACAGCGCCGCACTCTGAAAGTCAGAAATTGTATCATAGATGATCTGCTGATTGCTGGCTGTTTGGATGACAGTAAATTGACACACCAGTCCTCTGGATTCGACGAAGCGGGGACATTCCTTTGAGGTGCAGATTGAAACCAAAATGCTATTCAATTATTGATATTGACTTCCCTATGAGAGTGCTGTTCAATCTACTCTTGCGACAGCCTTGTATTGAAATTGTGCAACTGTATTCTTTTGCGATTGTTTGACGGCTGCAAGGCCGTTGAGCAGCCAACCCCGTGACTCTTTGTTTTCTAACATCAAGTTTGAACCATTGTTGTTTCATACCATTTCGTACCAATGCTACATTTGATATCATTTGATACATATGTGCAATTCTCCAATGCCTCCACAAAAAACCAAGGGCCCAGCGGTCCAACACTGGGAGCTGATGCCTGCAAAAAACGAAGTCAACACAAAATACATGCGATACATGTACCGGTAGAATCATGCTATGGATTGCTATGGTCATGCTAGGCACTTCCTTGATCCTTGACTTTGCCGACGGTCAGCATGACAACATTCAATGATTCAAGCATTTAGTTTGAAAACATGTGATGCTGCGCTGCAGTGCACTTGCTAAGCTGCCCAGCCAAATCTTCCACAGCACGCACCAGTTCGGCTGCCTTACAATCCGATCAAATGCATTGCAATATATGTCTAATATGTTTCAATAGTGAAGTTCTGAAAGTTGTTTTCGCACTATAGGACACCGGCGCTAGAGATAGCACCAAGACAATCTGTCAACCGCTTCGTCCGGATGAGCCTCAGAAATACGGTACAATGAAAACGTGGCAACGGCTTGATTCTGCTGCGGGTCTTCCCCCAACCATCCAAAAAGTATTGTTCATTTTTACCACATTCACTGGAAAGTGCAAGAGTGTAAAGTATCTTGGGCCAGGTTGTCTTCTTGAACTCAACCCTGCTTTCACGGGTGGCCTTCGGGACAAGCGGGCTGCCAAGAGAAAGCTGCTCCGGGGCTCCTGCATTGCAGAAGAAGATTGGCCGTAATGCGAGGAGAAAGGAGCTCCAAAGCATTCCAAATCTCCTCTGGTTGTGAGCTTCTCTTTCGAATTGGTCAGGTCAAACCAAACACCGCAAAAGTTAATACTCACATGGGTCGAGGATTTGACTTCGACCCAAGTTCAGGTTCAAGTTGCATCGCTCTACCATTGACTCTTTTTCTCTGAAGCAGAGTCGAGGTGTCTCTAGCGAGTAGTTTCAGGCACCACCACCTGCAGCAAACGCACCAGTGCATGATGCAACTGCTACACTGCCACTACCCGAGACCAACACCGTCAAGCTCTCACAAGATTCGGTTTTTGCATGTTTTTGCCTCCTCTTTTTGGGCTGTTCATGGCTATTCCCAAATGTCCCCAGCATTCTTGGCAGGCAATCGCAAACAAAACTACAAGGCCTCACCAGCATAGACCGTTCCTGTACCATCCATCGGGTCCTGCGAGCCATTGGACGGCAGGACTCTTTCCCTTCCCCCCGTCTTGCCGTGTCCTGTGCTAGTTCCACATTGTCAACCTTCACTTGACCTTCATTTCACAAATCAAGTGTGTGCAACTGTATCAATACCATAACCACTCCCAATGCAAAGTGGTATCTCAGGGCGCTACACCACTCGATTTCACAGTCGCCCATAACACAGCTTCCGGCGGTGACTCCCTTCAGGACCTCGCGAAACAGAGCCAAATGGAGATTCCATTCATTGCCATTCATCATGAGGATTAGCCAACCCCACAAAGGTGACTCCTCCAAGTAGTAGATTAGTAGATGCTTAATAAGCCCTTAAGATGCCCTTAAGAAGCCCTTAATGAGACCTTAATGAGACCTTATGATTGGGGGGTCACCTTCCAGGTTTGATGAAATCACCATGAATGCAACGGCTTCGCTGTCGCCAAGGCACCAGGAAGCGTCCGCCCGACTTTCCGGAGCAATCGGCAGTGGTGCTATCGGTAATGTCACCACAGAAGCCCTCAGTGTCGACAGTGAAAGCACCTGATACCTGAATAGTCTTATAGCTCATGATAATCATAACAATAATATATGATAATCATAATAATCAAACGTCCAAACTCAATGGTTCTTCCACCCCACAAGATCACACCCATGACATGTTGAGGCAAGGGGCAGTATTGGACAACGTATCGGCGGGTCCGTTATTGGTAATGTACACCTGCACAGTTAAGGCGAAACGGAGTCGTTGAAACTGGTCTGAGCGGGAAAAAAACTAGGAACAATGGGTTTTGAAGAATTGGAATAGCATGCTGGGTTTCGCCATTTCGTTGCTGCCATTTCCTTTGCCATTTTGTTTCTGCCAGTTCAGCTGGGAAAGAAACTGACAGGTCTAATTTCATAAGTTTCATTTACGCTACGCCGCTACGCCGCTACGCCGCTACGCCCAATACCAAGAAATTCCAAGTTCACAACAAATTGGCGCGCCGGGAGCTGGAAGTTTCCGGGCTACAAAGAGCTCCACTGAACCATACAACAGGTCGACCGTGTAGTGTACTGATATCACCTGGTATCTATCATCGAACACATTCCAGAATTGTCTTTGAACATGTGTAATTAACCTGAAACATTCTTGAAACACACTGAGTTTTGTTCTAACAGTTGTCCCAATTTGTTGTCCCGCCCAGACTGCCTCCACGCGGGCCACTCCAGGCTTCAAGTCTGCTGTGACGCTTCCCAAAGACTGCGCGGAGCCCAGGTCCCAATAAACTGCTTTCCCATGCCTGGCCGGCTGGTAGACGTGGCAAGAACTCGCACAAGACATTCTAAATCCAGTGTGAAAGAGCAGGTGCAAATTCAGCCTCAAGCAATATCGATAATATCATGCAATACGTATGCAATACTGTGCTTATGTGCATTCACATATGTTTTCTGCAACTCCAAGAGCGATATAGACCTGTGCACATATGCAGCCGCATGCAGCCCTGAGGTACCTGTGCCCGCTGCACCCTCAAAATCCTACGGCATGTTCTGACCGGTGCAAGTTAATAAACAGCCAAACAAGCCGAAGACACTGCTTGAAACATTTCGTTTCGATAGTTGTCATCACAGGAAGAGGAGTGGTCTCAGATGCGCCAGAAGCTACAGCGGCTGTGCACGAGCAACCACTTGCTCCGATTGCACGGTAAGGGTCAAAATTGGGCGCTGCTCAGATATCTATTGATAAACATTGCCAAAATCGGCGGCCCTACGGATACCCATTGCCAAGCGGACAAAGTACTGCAAGATACTGCATGTATGATTGCCAAGTATTATTCTTGTGTTTCTATGTATTCCTTGTCTTGCAAAGTGAACACTTGCAGTCAAGACACCGTCTTCCTCTGCATTACCATCTGCAAAGGTGGCATGTGGTAAAGTGATGCAAAGTGTGGATCAGACTGGTGGCCACTCTGGATGCGTCTGGACAATGTCTCGATATGTCTGGGTGATAAATGGCCCAATGGCATCCCAATGGCCCATTTACTTCTGATAAGATTCACATATATTCAAATGTACAAAACTCTTCGCAACATTTTGTAACAAGGCCTTGCAAGGGCAACCGCCAGGACCCTTTGTTGGGTTGGCCGCACTGCTAGCAATATCCTGGGGAAATCATTGGGTGCGGTGCGACATCCAATGCTCTGGCAACATCAAATCTGTCTGCAGTGACCTGCCACAGCCCACCCGTCCTCTGTGTTTCGGAAACTATTTTCTGGGCAAGCTGCATATGAGCAGTTGCCACTTCCTGCCTGAGAATTGAAGTGGAATCAAGAAGTGGGCACCAAAAAAATAGAGAGTTTGCTACGTGTATATAGGTCTTTGCAACTTTGTCGCTCAACCATCCTTCCACCAAGGCAAGACTTCAAAAAGAGATGAAAAGAGTGCCCTTTTGCCCCTTCAACGTTCTCAAGTAATTACATGCAATTACTGTATGTATCTGTATGTAATGCACTAGCCCCGAAAGGGCAACAGCAAGAGCAAGGGGAAAAGCAGAAGCAAGACCACCAACCACCCCGACCACTAGCACAGAAACAGCAGCAATTGCAACAATGACAAGAAGATCAAGAACAGAAAAGGAAGCAATTCTTTAGAGGGTCAGCCAGGATACTGAAGAGACTGAAGCACACTATCAAAAAGACATTCGAAAAAAACAATGGATTCCTTTGGAGCTGCGTTTATTGATTGACGTAGCACGGCCCAAAATCTCAGGAACCAGCGTTGAAGAAGCTGTTGCCTCAGCCATCAAAATTGAGTTTGCCAATAGATGTCTGCACGGTACACAAAAACTTGTTTTGCAACAAGACATCGTGGACACCGATTTATAGAATTTAGAGGAGACTCTCATAGATTCTCTCTCTTTCATTTTCACTGGAGAACTCCTGCTGTTTTGCACACATGTGACTGTTGGGATGTGTTGCTTCTAAAATGCTTTGGGTGGAAACAAGTTAACTAGACGTTGGGGCCAAATACTCTGGGATACTTGAACATCGTGGACTTGTTGTGCTTGCAGGCAAATTTGCTGTTTTCAAGGATCTGCGTTTCCCAGTAAATAAGCGTCCCATCTTCGTGTCGCCAGTGGAATTCTTTCAAATTCGTTCGAAGAAGCCAGGCATTCTAGCTGTCCCCAGCTTTCACTTCATGCTACTACTGTAGTATGCAAGGCATGCAAAGCCCACGAGTTTTGTCTTTGCGAAGATATTGGGAACCCGACTGTCGCATGTGACATTTGCGCCAACATGATATGCAGCGCCCATTCGACTCCAGCCCTCCGCTGTATCAATGGTCTTGTTTTGCCACGCTCCCAAACCAACGCAAACTTCAACTTCCTCAGTTGCGCAAATCACAAGCTGAACTAATGTGAATGCATGGCATGGCATCATCACTGTGCCTTGAGAATGGCCTGGTTTTGCAACTGCATCATACAGTAGTTATGGCTATGCAATTGTTGTGTTACAATACACTTGCTTAGTCCAGTGTCTTTGTAGTGCTGGCTGCTATCAGAAAGGCCACAGGCATCTTCACAAGTCACTGCTGGGCAAGCAGAGATACCTCAGGGACCGCTGTCAAAATGCTCAAGGCCATTGGCCCATTGTTTTGCCAAGGTCACCACCATTTGGCAAGTGTGAATAATGCAAGGAATCGAACTCAGGAGAGCCAGGCACTTCACCTCACAGATCCACATCATCCACATCACGAACTGTGTAACCTGGCCCTTAGAAGCGGTTCCGATTCAGGTCCCGGCTAGCGTTGCAGGTGAAGATCTCCAATTTTGACTCTGGATATCCTAGGTGCGGACATGTCAGACTACTGGCTCACCCTGCCCTTGCACTTGCACATTGAGCTCTTCCTTCTGCACATTCAACACTTTTATTTCAAAAAATGCTGAAACATTCAAGTATTGCAAAACTGTGCCTGCACTGATCTTCATGGTCAGAACCTCCTCAGCTTGAGTGTAGTTCTTGTTGATGCCTCAAGGAGAACCAGGACATGCATCTGTGTCGCTGACCAACGGCCTGAAAAACCTTTCGTGATCCAACAACCCGCTACAGTATTAGCTGACATTTCAAGGGGGGCGCATGCACATGTTCCACTATGCCCTTCATCTCGCGATCGGCTGTGCCACAATGACAATAAGATACAATATAAGATCAATAGGTGCCAAAAAGACATGACGAGGACATGTTGGCTGATAACTGAGCTTGGATACATGCTTGTAGCTTGTCCTTCTGGTTTTTGCCGAAGGAGTCAATGATGCAAACGATGCGGAGCAAGGACCGCATCTGGCCCTAGGAGCTCCGGAGTTTCGATGTTTTTCGGACGAATTATATAAAACCAAGTCTCTGCACTGCAGGAGTTTGGAAGGACCCTCCCACGTAGCCGCAAGGATCTACGGAGTTTCCGAACTTCTGAGTGTCACATAGTTCCCAAAAACATCAAAAACTGTATTCTTATTCTTCTGCCTCGCAGAGCCCCCCGCATCTACTAGCCCCGCTTATCCGGCGTATCGCTTGTTTTCTGGAAGCTACGACGACCACCATTCCGTCTGAGTCAAAGACCATTCTTGACAGACCCTGGGCCTCCTGATCAGCCTGGCTTTCGCCGAATGTCGCTACGAGTATGACACATCTGAAGTCTAGAAGCGCAGGCCTTCACAGTCTCCCAGTTGCTAAGGGCAGAGTCATAGCCTTGGTTCGCAGCTTCAAAATAGATCAAAATTAAAGGACCGGATAACCCCACATGTTACCAACTTCTTTAGACTTAGACTGACCATAGAAGAGCAAGAAGGGAAGAGGAAGTATAAGAGGGATGGAGCGGTGATGGTGGGTGAGTTTGTGTGTATGTATGTATGTTCATGTACAGTGAGTGAGTGAGAGTGTGAGTGAGTGATGCGAGTGTGGTGTGTGTGTGTGTGTGAGTGAGGGATGTGAGAGTGAGTGAAGTGAGTGAAGTGAAGTGAAGTGAAGTGAAGCGAAGCGAAGCGAAGCGAAGCGAAGCGAAGCGAGTGAGTGGGTGAGCGAGGGAGCGAGGGAGCGAGGGAGCGAGGGAGCGAGGGAGCGAGGGAGCGAGGGAGTGGAGGGAGTGGAGGGAGTGGAGG